TTGGGCGGTCACCCAAGTGGGTTCTACCTCACTATTAGAGTAAGTGATTAACGTACACTCAATGCTTTCGTGCGGTAGTGTAGGTTAACCCGTGCCCCGATAAATACGATCCAAGCTCAGCCATTGATTACATTTAAATAACTCAGTATTAGAAAACAAGGTCACATTTCTAAGAATATAGGATTGGTAACGCATTGGTGAAACCCTTCTTATATATTTCGTCAGACTTGCTTCTAACACCGCGGAAACGCGCAAGGACGGGCATGCTAGTTTAATGTAAAAATAACATCAATAACTTATATTGTTAAAATTTATCATATTTAGATATTCTCCGCTTTCAAATTAATAAAATCTTGTTGTAGTATGTTTATTAATATAAAATACTAACAACGTAAGCTAAAAACATTTTCATTTTTATTATTTTTCTATTCACATTTGATTCCGTCCAAGACATTTTCTAAATCCTGTAGGATGACAGGCTAAAAAAAGAAATGCAAATACTAAAGCTGAAAAACCACATATTTACTTTTAACAATAGCTTTTAGTGGATTGTTCTGGGTTCGGTATGTTACTGTTTACCTTTTACATGGGCCTTCGCATAGCCCAATTACTATTATTATATTACTAGCTGCAAAGCCTTTCGGATCACAGGAAAAAATTGTGTTTGTAATCTTATATTCGTAATATTCCTTTTTATCTAGGTCAAATCTGAAGGATTTAATAACACATTGTTTTTCAATAAATACATTGTTGAAGTAGTAGGCAGTTTTTAAAAACAGTTTTAACATTATGTTGAATTTTAATATTACCGCAGTGTAGGACCATTTAACTTGTAAACATTAATAGGTAAGCCTAAGCATTTATTATACTATGCAACACAAACAAGCATGACATTTTCTGAAGACACTCGGACGTCGGGCATGGATTAAATATCAATGATCCTAAAAATCTTTTTCTTAATATTGTCATTCCGTGTTGTTTACATAAGATTTTATACTTGTGTGGGGTTTTTTTTAAGTATAAATAATTTTTAGTGTATCCCATTAATATCTCTTTACTACTAAAACTCAAGTTTGTTTACATATTTGAATATTTATTTGTTTTTTGTTTGTTTTTGTGTTTGTCTGATTGGCTACTGGAGAGAATCTGCACTATGTGGAGAGCTGTAAAATTGTATGTAGGTAGAGAACAATGTTTGTTTTCAGACAGACTGTTAATCACAAATTTATTTAAAGACGTTAATTTATTTATTGATTTATTCATAGCTAGATTAACAACATTAATTTTAAAAGTTTAAAACATTGACTTTATTTTGTGGGAATAGTGACGTCACATGATTTGTTTACTTTTGAGTACAATAAATGGCGGCTTCAATCCATGATTTAGTTACCGATTCATTTGTTTAACGCGTTCTTAAACTAATTTTCTGTCGGCTATAACTTTAACAGTAAGTCCGTTAGCTATTTTCATTACGTTTCAACACTATTATCACTATTTAACACTTCTTTTTATTTTATTATACAATACATTTCTCTAGATCTAGGCCTGCAGATCAGCTGTCGAAGGAATTAAAAAGTTTTGAATCTAGATCTAGATGTAGATCTAGATCTAGATCTTAATCTAGGTCACTAGACTTAACGTAAATTCTAGATCTAGACTTAATGTAGATTCTACATCTAGAATCTATTTCAGGCCTTAATTATTTTCAATACATCTTTGTTTAGCTTCAATGATCATCTAATTCGAGAATGCATGGGATCTATCTAGATCTAAATCTCGGTTCTAGATTCTTCTAGATCTAGATCTAGACTCAACCTAGACTCTAGATCTAAATTCTACATCTAGATCCAGATTTAATGTAAATTCTACATCTAGAATCTAGAACTAGAATCATAATATACTAAACTATTTCAGGCCTCAATTATTTTGTATAAATCTTTGTTTGTTTAGTTATGAAATTGGCTAATTTAAGATAAAATTTATTTTGAAATAATTCTAGATCTAATTCTAGGGCTGATTCGCGTAGATTCTTAAGCGGCTTAGAAGTAAACTATATAAGTTATTAACTTCTCCAGAGTACGAGCCTAGATACCTATGAGGTTAGCACATTAGGTTACCATGCGGGTGGCATGGGTTCTAGACATGTCAATTGTTTTTTTTTATTTTAATTTTTTTTTCGTTTTTCGTTGTGAATGATAATGTTGCCTTTGCCTATTGGAACTTAGCGGGATACAGGGCAGGTGAAGTAGAGTTTACCTGTTTCTTTTTCCTCAGTATATAACATGGATAGTGTGGTCAGAGCCATGGATAGTGTGGTCAGAGCCATGCTCGGCCGGAATCTTTTTTTTAAAAGATAAAACATGTTGTCTTAGACTTGGCGGAACACTGGGCAGGTGAAGTAGTGTTGGGTAGGTCTAAAGTTCACCTGTGACGACAGCATATGAAGAGATAGTGTGGTCAGACCCACGCTCAGTCAAAATCTGTGTATTCACAGACATAAACATGTCTGAGTTGGGAGGACACTTGGCAGGTGAAGTAGAGTTGACCTGTTTTGACGAAATAGGCCAATTATTATTTAGGATTATATCTGCATATCTACAATAACTACAGAGTATTTAAAGTAAAATGCAACTTTAATAGTCTATAAATTTAAGCTAACGAAATTAATACACTATATTTAAAACAAATAAACTGTAAATTAAATTTGAAATTAAAATTCACACTAAAAATGTGAAACCTTCATAGGTAAATACCTTCTTAAAACATGTTTGTAGCCTAGCCTCACTTAAGGGCATGGGTGGGTGATGAGTACCAACTTCCTTATTTCCGAGTCTAAAGATGTAATACTTGGCATAAGCATAAAAATAATTTTTTTTTTATTTTTTAAATCCTCCGTTGCCATGGTGACGGCGGCCATAATGGATTTTATTGACAATTTGTAAATGGAAATAACTTAAAAATGGTTTGTACAAATTTTATAAAAACTTAATATATTCTGGAGACACATGTGTTTAAGACTTCTGATAGATTACATTTTCAAAAAAGAAAATAGTTTTTTTTTTACTTTTTTTTTCATACATCACTGTAAAAATTTAATTATTATTTCGTCCAATTTTTTCACTATTTCAACAATAAATTTCTTTTTTAAATTTCCAAGTGTTCTGTCAGTTTTATTTGAACATATATACAGAGTAACTGGAGCAAATTTAGTTCAGTTCTGATAATTATTAACAAAGTTATTTCAATAATTGTACACAAAAGAATCAAAGTGAGAAAAACGCAAAAAAAAACAACAAAATGTTGCAAAAAAAAAAAAGAAAATTTACCGCTGTGTGTCACTAAAATTGACCACATTTATTGCCTGAAGTATGGTGCTGCTGAATATATTCCTTCTGAGCTTGTTCAGCTGTTAGTTCCCTTTTTTCTGGCTTTCTTTGTTTTACCTAGAGCTGTAGTAAAGCTGTTGTGAAGGCGTCTGTTTTCGCGTCCTTCACTGAGTCTTCGACAATGGTTTCCTCCTTTTGACAGCAATGCCATAGCATGCATGGGCCCAATACTGTATTATGCTATCGCAGCAACAGCAGTACATTTTGCGTGGTCTCATGTCTAAACCAATTATAATAAGACGATGTCTTTGTTTATTGTGAATGGCTTTGTTCTGGATTCTTATGCAGTCATATACTTACGGTTTACAACATTTTTATTACTGCCACACCATGCTTGAAGCAAACTCTTTACATTTTTTTCATCAATAGTAGCCACTACATCACAGTTACACTCCGGACAAGGAAATGTATTGATAACATCAAGAAGCAAATCCCAGTCGACAATAATTCTGCATGGCTGTGGTTTACAATTAGCACTACCAGTACTAGATGTAACAGTGCTTTCTTCTGTCTGTAAAAACTGTCCTACATTGCCGCAGTTTCTTAGTAAATGTGCATATTACATCTGCACCAGTGCTGGTCTGAATAGTGCTAGATTGAGTAGAGGTAGATGCAATCAGTTGGACTCGGTCGTGCCCTTGCTTTAGTAAATTCGTTAGATGTATGTATCTATTTTTAGCGAGTGTTTTGTTCTACCCATTATCGAAAGAGAAACAAATTAAATCGTCTTACTGCTTATAATAATTCACACAAACTAATCTTAACTGTTAAAAGTATATTTAATTAAAATAATTATATGTTAAAATAATGTAAGTATTTTACAGAAGCTTAGAGAAACAAAACTAGATCAAACTTAGCAACGCGCTGAAACTAAGGGAATGTTTACTTCCGAAGCGAAACGACCAATCGCTAACTAGCTTCCGCCGTTGAATACCAATGAAAAAATTGAGGTAAAAAATGTGCATACCGGAAAAACCCGACTGAGTAAAATAAACAACTTTATGACGTAGAAAAATAATCACATTAAAATAGGTATTTTGACTGGTCCTTTAATTTTAGAACAAATAAAGAAAGGAGGTCACGGCCTTTTCATTGATATGAAATACATTAGGCTTCCGCGAAGTATAATAGTACTTTTCTAGGTAGAAAAATGGCTATTTTTACCAAAAAAGTGAACAAATGACCCTGAACAAACTACTTTGAACCCGGTTTTTCATAAATAAATAATGTTTTCAGGGTCATAACAATGTCATTTTTAGATTTAACGATGATTTAGTGGATTTATGACAAGTACACCCGCCCATGCCCTTAAAAATAAACAACTACATAATAATCAAACTAAAATTGTTACTAGCCAGTAATAGTATCACATTTTCACAAGCAGAAGCACTTTAAGGGTTAAGGACTGAGGATTCAAGGTTGAAGATTGAGGAGTGAGGGTTGAAGGAAAATGTTTTAGAGAAGACATTTTTTTTTGTTCTCTTAAAGGGTGAGTTTACTAGTTTAAATATTAATTGTGTTAATAGCTTTTAAATATTCCTAAATTGATTTGGAAATCATTTTTTATTATTCGCTGTTTTATTTATGTTTTAGGATAGTAATAACATTCTGGCACTAATGTTCACGATCAAACATATACATAGTTCGTCTTACAATATGCTGCACAAGCCTGTTTTCTAAATCATCGATGTATTTGTTTTTCCGATCTAGGTTACATTTGTAAATGTGTTGCTTCTCGTCTTCAAGTAAGGCTAGATCCTTTAATTTTTGTCCATGCGATGCTATCAGTTCTTTTATTTTTTTTTCAAAATCTGTTATTTTTTGTTCGTAAGATTCTTTTTGTTCATTTGCTATTGAGATTAAATAACTGTGTTTCAGTTCAAACGTTTCCTTTTGATCTTTAGCTAATAGGTTTAAATCTGCAATAGTTTGTTCATTAATTTCTTTCTGAAACTTAGCTTTTAATTCTAAATCCGCTATTTTTCGTTCATAAATTTCAATATGATCTTTTGCTTTTGATTCCAAATCTGCAAGTTTTCGTTCATTAATTTTTTTCTGAAATTTTGCTTTTGATTTTAAATCCGCTATTTTCTGTTCATTAATTTCGACCTGATCTTTTGCTTTTGATTCTAAAACTGCAATTTTGTGTTCAAAAATATATTTCTGATCTTTTACTTTTGTTTCTATGTCGGTTAACGTTTGTTCATAATTTTCTTTTTGTTCTTTAGCTCTTGATTCACAATAAGCTTGATTTCGCTGGTATAATTCTTTTTCTTCTTTTGCGTTTGATTTTAGTTCTGCAATACGTTTTTCAAGTTTCAATTTCTGTTCAACTGCGTTTGATTCTAACACAGACATCCTAGTTTCATATTCTTGCTTAAGTTGTTTTGTTTTTGACTTTAAATCGTTCAATCTATGGCTATTGGTTTCCATTAGTTCTTTTTTTTCCGATTTTAAATGTAATATTTTGTGTTCAAACATTTCTTTTTGGTCTTTATTTTTTGACTCTGAAAATTCTAATTTTTCTTTTAAAGTTTCTTTTTGATGTTTTAATTTAGATTTTAAATACACTATTTCTTCTTTGTGAGTCGTCATTTGGTCTTTATTTTTTAATTTTAAATGTGCTACCTTTATTTCGTAATCTATCTTTTGTTGCATTGAGTTCATTTCGTAATCTGCTATTTTACTTTCGTATAGTACTTTTTCATTTTCAGCTCTTAGATTTAACTCTTTTAAGTGAAGTTCCCATGTTTCCTTATGTGTATATCTATCTACATTATCTGGCATTTTGAACTTGTTTATGCTTTCACATAATTGGTTACTTTGCCTCCTCAGTTGTTGTTCTAAATGCGCTACTTTTTCCTCGAATTTTTCAGTTTGTTCTTTGTAAAATTGCTCCAAATTTTTGTAAACCGCGATTTTCTTATCAAAATTGTCAGTCATTTCTGATACTTTCTTCTTATTTGATTCTTCTTCTTTCTTTATAGTAGCTTTAGCCTGTTCTAGTTTTGCTTTAAGTTCATCGATTTCTATTGTGATTTTTTTATCATTTCGTTTTTCGCTTTTGTCTAAAATATCTATTTTCGTTTTGCATGTATCTATTTCTAGTAATAAACTTTCTCTCATTTCCTTATATTTATTATGTTCGTGTATTAAAATCTCACATACACGAATTTCATTTTCAACCATTTTGTTCGTTTTTTTAACAGTTTTTAATATCGTACTTAATGCCCCGCTTTCCTTGTCCTCTTTTGATATATCGTGTAGCAGTACCTTCGTTTTTTCATTTAAATCTAATAATGATTTTCTTTTACTTTCGAGATCCTCAAAGTTCATTTGATTGTAACTTGACATAATAATGCCCATTTCTTTAAGTATTTTGTCTTTTAGTGCTGGAATTTTACATTCTATCAGCAGTTTATCTCTTGTCTCCTTTGCTTGAACAAAATATGTGTCGGTGTATCGCTTACCACTGGATTGCATCCTGTCTATTACATGGATGAGATCAGTTTTCTGTTTTTGTATTTCTTCGTTTTCCTTTGTAAAGTTATCAAACAATACAACTCTACCCTCACACTCGTCTAACAGCTGTTTAAACACACCCTGTTGTTTATCACACCATTGTTTAAATGTCTCTCCAGTTTCATTAGTAACTTGCTTTTCAAAGTTGTCACCACATGTCAGTACAAGAATACAAAATTTGTTTACAAACTCACTTCCAAATATGTTCTTAAGTATTAGCAAGACATTAACATCTTCTTCTGTAAATCTTTCTCCAAATTTTAAAACGTAAATAAACGCATGATACCCGTCTGGATTGATTTCAATAGCATCATTCATTTTTTCTGTAACCATTTTAACTGAATCCTCTTCGCTCATTCTCATATCACATACACCTGGAGTATTAACAACTTTCAGTACACGTCCGTTAAATGAACCCTGCTCAGCTTTAATGACATCGGTTACAGAGGAAAAATCTGCAGTCGAAACGAAAGCCTTTCTCGCTAAAAGACTGTTTCTTAGCGCACTTTTTCCTTTCCCAGTTTTTCCAATTAGCAGAAGGTCAATGTCTTTTGAAATCTGTAGTATAGCAACATTAAAAAATTGTGAAATGTGTGACATAATTGTATTTACAATAAACATACAATGCTAATAATTTTTTAAAGGTAATTGGAATACTGGTATTGCGAATGAAGTAACCGAAATGTAACAACTAAATTATTTGTTAGTTTTTAAAGAATTATTATCCGAAAGATATTTTTAAGAGAACTCTTCAAATGGTTTCTTTATGTCTCTGGTGTATCTGTAACATAATGAACGATCTTATTAATTTAACAAAACGTAATTGTTCACTTTAGTTTTGTGCTGGCTAAAACTTAGATTCAGCTTTATAGCAATGTCATTCAAAGGCTACTGACAAATCCTATTTAGATTTATAATTATCTTTTTGGGGATATTATATATTATCTTTATTTAATGTAATTTATAGTGTCTCTTTACATTTTAAGTCTTAATGTAATGTGACCACCTACTTGGTTCTTCGGTCGGTCTAAGCTGTACAAGAGTTTATCAGCCCAGGTACAGAACATTCATTTGGTGAAGGCGTTTTCTACTACAAGACCAAGATTTTTCCTAATCTCATTACTAATTTTGCTAATTTTATCCACAATATCCAAAATAATTTTCAAAATGTATTTAGAGATTTTTTTTTATCTTTCTTAATAACCTTATTTTATAAACCAAGAAGTTTTTTTTAGCGCAATTTCCATTCTGGAGAATTGCGTTTATTAACCCGTCATTTCTGGATGTATGAATGTATGAATGAATGGATGTGTGTCCGCAGCTTTAAGTCGTATCTCCTCCTCAACGAAGCAATATCGAGGACTAGTTCCAAAGCAATTATGTTAAGCAAGTTATGAGGATGAACATAGGCAAAAAAAAAATCCGGGTTTCTTTCATGGATTTCCCCGAAAAGCCAAAAAACCTCGAAAAAATGCAGTTTTTGGCCCATATCTCGGCAACCAGACCACTTAGCGACTTGAAACATTACCAATCGATTCCTGCCATAATTTAGAACAATATTGCCGAAGAAAGTTTTAAAAAATATCCTTTCGTTCGGTCACAAACATTTTTTTGAATTAATTAAAATTTGGACCGAATTAGTAGGCATTTTTATCCAACCACACCACACGCGTCATTACGTTAAATAGCTGCGCCATCACGTTCAATGGCTGCGCCATCACGTTCGGTAGCTAGGCGCGCAATGGTTTTTAGTCATGTAACTCTATTGTAAATAAAACATGTAAAATACTGAAAACAAAATAAATAAAAAACGTTTTAATAACTAACCAATGGTTTTACTAACCCTGCTCTTGATTTACGCTACGACAGAGCTATTTTTAGATAACATAAGGAAATTGCGCTTAAATTGTCACAAGACTTTTTAATTAACTTGTTTTAACTTTACTAGATACAATTGTGCATACATTTAAGTGCATGCTTTCATATTTGAGGATCATAAAAGACTACCCTAAGCTCTCCTAATGATAGTAATAATAGAAATTACTTAAATTTACTTCTGGCAAACACAAATCTATGTTTTGTATAGTATTCTAAATACCAAAAAGTAAAACTAGTACCACAAAATTGCACAATTTAGATAAGAATACCATGCAACGTCAGATTTAAAAGACGGCAGTTGCCGATGTCATTAAATTAGAGAACTAGAACGTTATTCTCTTTTCAATAGTCTTCGTTAACTTTCCGATGGCTACTGAATTTGTAGTTTATAAAACTGTTTTTGAAAAGTGGAATATAGCCGATACAATTTATATAAAGAGCTTACAAAAGTATGGCTCAGAATGAACTGATAGTGAGCTATTTATTAAAAATATAACCCAACTAATTTTATATCCCTGAGTATGTAGAGATAACCCTTTAATTTTTATTTAATTAGTTGGCTATTGAAAACAGTGTGTTTACAGCTTTTATACCGCCCTATTTTTCTAGAACGATTAAACGAAAATAGTGTTATGAAAATTAAACCGGGTGTTAGAAGTCAAAGTCCTTAACAAAAATAAAGGTCATATTTGAAGGCTGCAACTCAAAAAAAAAATATTTAACGCATCCAAAATGTAAACTAAATAGAAAAATAACATTTGAGTAAATTTTAATGTATGCAGGTTGTCTGTATTTTAATTTCTTTATGATTGTTAATAAAATAAAATTCTGATGAATTTTTTTTCGATTTTTTGGTTTTAAGTAAAACAAAAGATAACTTTTAAAGTCATTAGATCTGATGAAGAAAGGTACACTTGTCTCTTTTACGGAAGGGTTGTGTGGTCAGTACTTCGCTCAGTCTTATTGCTTACTTTATCTCTAGTCGGGTACCCATGAAAGCTGGAAGAAACAGTTAAAGGCCGACGGAATCAAGTGCATTAATCGACCATCTCAAGAATAGAACGCATTCGCTTAACCGCTCGACTCCGATGTCCAATAAATAATATTTCTTCTTAGCATTAACCAGCAGAGTCACTTTAGTTTTCTATGACATAAAAAAACACTTCATTATAGTTGTGAGAATATAAAATACGTATAAAACCCGATGTGAAATCACTGAAATTACAAAAGCAGCAAAATATACAAACCTCAAGTGTAATAGTTAACTTCTCAGGGCCACAATTGTTTTTATCACTTTCAGACGTGTTTTTTTCCGTGGAACTCGAAGTCAGCAATTTTGCTTCCAGGAGGTTTGACTAGACTTTCTAAACATGAAATGTTGGCTTTCGGATCAATGATAGGTTCTGGTTGTTCTACGGTAGAAGTAATTTTTTCCATATTCATTTCTAAAATGTAGCCATAGCAATAGGATAGTAATAAAAAATAAAAAAATGTACCATGTTTATAAAAATGTATTAACTGACCACAAAAAAGAAAAGTGAGCCTAGTTATAATTATTGTATTATTATGCTTAAAATTGTTTTAACGCAAAAATTATTTTGAAAAACAAATACAGAATCTAAGTTATAAGTAATTAAATTCACTTTTCTAAAATGTGACCGCGCGATTTATTAATGTCATTATTTGAAAACATTATGAGTACCTTCTCTAATAAATGTTATGCTAAATCCGAAAGCTGCTAAAATACAATCATCCGGCGTGCTTTCATAAACGATAACCTTGCGTACATAAAATAGCTTGACACAAATAATTATATATTCTAAAAATAGATCATGTTTATATAAGAATATCGAGCCAGTAATAGAGGCGTAGGTATAATCAATATTTCTGTTGAAGGCATAACGTGTAGCAGTTTTATTTAAACTGGATTAAAAACAAACAAAATAATGTATTACTTACTATTGTTAACACTATTATTTTATATTTTTAAAAGTAATATAAATAATCACATACATGAATGTATACAATTAATTGTTTAAATTAAAACTTAATCTGTTGAACGATTTATATCTTGTGAATTTACAGCTTGTTACACAATAAACTATTTTGGCAGTGGGACATTACCCCTTGTCAATTACCCTCAGTTATTACTCCACCCACAACATTTTAACAGATCAATTACATTCTATTAAAAAAACTCCGAATGTAACCTGGTCCCAGAAAAATACAGTACGACATTACCAATGGGTCGACTGACCTAGAAGATAATGGCTACGGGACATAACCCCCTCCCCCGACATTCCTCCCCCCCGACATCCCCCCCCCCCCCCCCGTATTTACCCCCCGCAGCCATTACCACCCTGTAAGTTAACCTTTGTCAATTACCCTCCTGGGGAATTACCCCCCCCATCCTCCCATCCTCCAAAATAGAATCCTGATTCTAAATCCAACTCTATACCTATATATTACCTCAATCCTAACCTTAAGACAAAGACGAAAAACCTAAGAATTCGACTCACCCTAAAATTAACCGAAAACCAAACCCAACATTCATGAAAGCCTAACCCTAATCCTAGCTATAACCCTAACCCTAACCCTAACCCTAACCCTAACGTTAACCCTAACCCTAACCCTAACCCTAACCCTAACCCTAACCCTAACCCTAGCCCTAGCCCTAGCCCTAACTCTAACTCTAACTCTAACTCTAACTCTAACCCTAACCCTAACAGTAGACCTAACCCTAACACTAACACTAACCCTAGACCTAGCCCAAACTCAAACCCTAGCTCTAACCCTAGCTGAACCTTAAGATATGACCAGGGCGTGATGCCCTACTGGGCGGGGAGGTAATTGACAAGGGGGGGGGGGGGTGACAATTAATCCGGGGGATAAAGACGGGGGGAAACGTAAGGGGGGTAATTGAAGGGGGGGGGGGGTAATGCCCTGTTCATGTGTATGTAAATGATGTTAAAAGGCTAAATAGTTTTCACAGCTTTATATAATTTGATATAATACTTTTCATTATATTTCGTTAATATGGCTGTAAAGGTACTTAAACTATCGTGTTCACCGACAGACAGACAGACAGACAGACAGACAGACAGACAGACAGACAGACAGACAGACAGACAGACAGACAGACAGACAGACAGACAGACAGACAGACAGACAGACAGACAGACAGACAGACAGACAGACAGACAGACAGACAGACAGACAGACAGACAGACAGACAGACAGACAGACAGACAGACAGACAGACAGACAGACAGACAGACAGACAGACAGACAGACAGACAGACAGACAGACAGACAGACAGACAGACAGACAGACAGACAGACAGACAGACAGACAGACAGACAGACAGACAGACAGACAGACAGACAGACAGACAGACAGACAGACAGACAGACAGACAGACAGACAGACAGACAGACAGACAGACAGACAGACAGACAGACAGACAGACAGACAGACAGACAGACAGACAGACAGACAGACAGACAGACAGACAGACAGACAGACAGACAGACAGACAGACAGACAGACAGACAGACAGACAGACAGACAGACAGACAGACAGACAGACAGACAGACAGACAGACAGACAGACAGACAGACAGACAGACAGACAGACAGACAGACAGACAGACAGACAGACAGACAGACAGACAGACAGACAGACAGACAGACAGACAGACAGACAGACGAACTGACGGAC